TTCCTGGATAAATTCATCATTGTATTTATAGATGATATTTTGTTTTACTCTCGGAGTAAAAAAAAGCATGAAAGGCGCCGAGAATTACCTTGCAAACACTAAGGGAATAACGATTGTACGTCAAATTCAAGAAATATGAATTTTAGCTAGAACGAGTAGCTTTTTTAGGTCACGTAATGACAAAGGAGGGTATAGCGGTAGATCCAAAGAAAGTAAAAGCTATTAAGAATTGGCCTACCCCGAAGAGTGTGATAGAGGCACAAAGTTTCTTAGGGTTGGTCAGGTTACTATCGAAGATTTGTTGAAGACTTCTCCAAGTTAGCAATGCCTCTCACTAATTTAATGAGGAAGAGTGTCAAGTTCTAGTAGACGAATGCTCGTGAGAAAAGTTTTCATGAATTAAAACGAAGGTTGGTCACGACCCCTGTACTAACTATTCCATCCGAAGGTGGGAACTTTGTGGTGTATAGTGATACTTCAAAAAATGGGCGAAGAGCGGTATTGATGCGGGATGGGAAAGTAATAGCCTATGGGTCACGACAATTAAAGGAGTACGAGCCAAATTACCCGATACATGACCTAGAACTAGCAATGGTAGTCTTTACCACGAAGATGCGGAGACATTATTTATACGGGGCAAAGTGTGAAATATATACGGATCATAAAAGCTTACGATATATCTTCACACAAAAAGAATTGAACATAAGACGGATGAGGCGAGTTGGAATTGATTAAAGACTATGATTGTATAATCAATTACCACCCGAGCAAAGCCAATGTTATTGTCGACGCCACGAGCGAGAAATCGATCGCTGCAGTGCGGGTGATTCGGATACCGATGGTGAGAGACCTATAAAAGCTAGAACTAGAGATAGTTCCTATAGGCTACAAGAGCGTGCTATCAAAGCTATTACTCCAACCGATGCTACAAGAAAGAATTCAAATGGGGCGACGAAATGGACGAAAAGTTGAAGGAGTTAAAAAAAAGTATAGAGGTTGAACAGGAGTCTAATTTTGCGATGGATGATAAAGGAATAATTAAATTCAAAGGCAAATTGTGTCCTCGTGATGGAGAGTATAAAAAATGAGATACCGAAGGAAGCACACACAAAACCATATTCGATACACCTAGGCGGTACGAAAATGTATCGAGACTTGCGACGAGTGTTATTGGTGGTCGGGAATGAAGAGGGATATAGCTAACTTTGTGACGAGGTGTCAAATTTGTCAACGAGTGAAGGCGAGTGGACCAAAGACCCTCGGGGAATGTTAAAACCCTTAGCGATTCCTAAGTGGAAATGGGAATATATAACAATGGATTTCATCATGGGATTGCTTAAGATCGAAAAGAGGATTGGATGTCATCCGAGTAGTCGTAGACGAGTCGACCAAATCGGCACACTTTCTTCGGTTAAAACCACCTACGAGTTTAAACTAATATGCCGAGTTATACTTGGATGAAATTGTAAGACTACATGAAATTTCAATTTCGATTGTGTTAGATCGAGATCCTAGATTTACCTCCACGTTTTGGAAAAGTCCGCATAAAGTCATGGGTACCAAGCTAAATTTCGGTACGACTTATCATTCACAAACTAACGGACGGTCCGAACGTGTAATCTAGATTCTTGAAGATATGCTTCAAACATGCGTTCGAGTTGGTCCACAAAATGAGAGAGATATGTACACTTAGCTGAATTTACATATAACTATAACTATCAAGCTTCGATTGGGATGAATCCCTATGAAGCTTTATATGGACGATGATGTAGATCTCACTTGCATTGGGATGAAATAGGAGAAAGAAAGTTGCTAGGGCCGAACTAGTGCGACGAAGCAATAGAAGTGGTAGACCGGATTCGCCGATGGATGAAAGTAACTCAAAAGCAGACAAAAGAGTTATGCTAATAAAAGGAGGAAAGATCCGGAATTCATGATTGGTGATTATGTATTTCTAAGAGTCTCACCGATGAAGGGCGTACTAGATTTAGGAAAAAGGGAAAGTTAAACCCACGATACATAAGACCATTCGAGATACTTGGACCAAGTAAGAGATAAAGCATATCACCTATTTCTACCACCCTCCTTAGCGAGAGTACACAATGTATTTCATATGTCTATGTTAAGAAAGTATGTAGGAGAGCCAAGTCAAATTCGAAGACGGCGCCACCGAACCTCACCCTAGATTTAACATATGAAGAAAGACCGATCTAAATTCTTGATAGACAAATCAAGTAACTAAGAAATAAGAAGATTAGTCTTGTTAAAGTTTTGTGAGAAAACCATGATCTCGAAGAAATGACCTAGGAGCGGAAGGAAGAAATGAAAGATAAATACTCCAAATTATTCGAATAGGTCAATTTCGAGGACGAAATTCTTTTAAGGGGAGAGAAATGTAACCCCCGCGAAAATCTTTAATGAGACATATATATATGTTGAAATATTCATGTAAATATGCATTAAATACGAGTGCAATTGTAGGTGTCATTTTAATTATTTGGTGATGTTGGTTAATTAGTACTCATGTGAAAATTTTAAGGCACTTATGTGAGAATTTTGGGATGAAGTTTCAAACAAATTAATTAATTATCACTCATTATATATTAAGTACTTGGGACATATTATAGAAGGAAAATAGGGGTGCGTATAACATTTTAGGAATGTAAGAATATTTTTTTTGGAAATATCGGAATGGAAGGGAAGGGAAGGGAAATTCCAAGTTAAGAGGAGGAATTTATGAAAATCTATGAATGAAATATGTTAATTACTTGAAGCTAAGTTAATTAGGATATTTAATTAGTCAAATCCCTTAGTTAGGACACCTAAGTCATTTCATTAAATGCAAGAGAACCAACTCACCCCACTTGCACACAAACCCGCCAACTTCACCATGACTCACCAAATTACTTTACACTTTGCTTAATTAATTCAAGCCACATGTATAGCTATTGAATGCAAGGAAAAAGGAGTGTGTATGTGTATATATATATGGAAAGGATGAAATCCGATCTTTTTCTTTAGCCAAACCGTAGCTCACTCAAAGGAAAGATAGAAAAGAGAGAAAAAGTAAGTGTGAGGAAGAGAAAAACGGAAAAAAAGAGAGAAAAAAGAGGAAGAAAAGAGAGAAAGGAAAATAAAGAAAAAAGGAAAAAAAGCTAAAGGAACCTAACCTCATCCAAACTAGGTAAGTGGGTTTTTGTTTAAGTCATTTATTTGATCCTTCCATGAAAATTGATGTACTTGCTTAAGCTTCTAATTATATTGTGTTGTATTGATGTGTTGGCCTTATTATGCTTGGTTGGTATAGGATTGTTTGTTATTGTGGAATATCTATGTAAGTAAGTCTCTTCGATGCTTCATACCATTCAATTGATGTAATTGTAATTGATTAAGCTTGTGTATAGATTATGAGGTGTTTGTTAGCTTAGTTGTGTTGATTAGGTTGTGTGGTTGATTAAAACATGATTGCCAAACTTAGAACTTATCTAGGCATGAATAAAATAGAGTAGGAAGAAAAGAAAAATGAAATTTTAGGGTTTTCTTGAGCAAACGTGAAGTTAGAAGTTACACGGCCTCCCACGTGGGCGTGTCTTTTCCCGTGTAATGAAGAAAGGTTTTTTTCTTCGAGTCGGAAAATTACACGGCCTCCCACACGGGCGTGTCCTTACCTATGTAATAAAGAAATGTATTTTTCTTCGAGACGGAGAGTTAAACGGCCTTACACACATGCGTGTCCTTTCCCGTGTAATGAAGAAATGTGTTTTCTTCAAGTCGAGAGTTACATGCCTCTCAAACGGGTGTGTCCCTACCCGTGTAAGTCACCGATCACTTAAAAGTCACCATTTTGTTCCATACTTGTTCGGTTTCCATTCCTTTCACCAAGATAACATAATAAATGATTAATTAGGTTCAAATAGATAGAAAATGAAGATAAAAAAGTACATCTTAATATAATTGAAATTTGATGTAAATACTAAGAATTATGCAACTCAAGTGTACAACGATTTAACAACTAAAATTACTAAAGGAAAGAAAAATAAAGTATTTACATACGTAATTAAACCCATCACATAACCAATACCATATGTTAGTATTTCGTTCTAACGAGAAGAACATGATGATAAGAGGTATGAGTATGCATGATCCTGTATGGGTTGGATATGTTTAATATGGTACACATAACATCATATACATCATGTGCATAGTGAGGCAAATAGATAAAAGTCAATTTAATGAGAATTGGTTTACATGATTAGGTTTGGTAACCTAACGGGAAAAATGGGCATTAGCGATCCAAGTTGTATGCGTATTCTAAGTTGTGTGCTTGCATTGTTAAGCGATGTATTCCGCTAACGAGTGGCTACAACGAGGGATAATTTCGTTATAGCAGAAGGTGATTTGATAATCACTCGAATTAAAAAATAGAATAAACTAACTAATACCTAAGGTACCGGAATTAAAATTGATAAGTATTGTAGAAAGTTAGAAAAACATTGCATATCACGTGCATCACTCCATTTACCGAGATTTGACTCACCTCGTCGTTATTTTTTTATGATGTGACGGAAAAAAAACAAAATAGTAAGGATGCGATCGACTCCTCCTAAAAGGCTCATCTCCTCCTAAAAGGCTCATGTGCAACACGGAAGTCGAAACAAGTTTTGTCTATAATTTGAGGGTATGAAATCTATACGGAATCAACCGCTAATTGTAATATTTTGTTATTGTAATTAATTATGCTATGTAAACTTTTCTATATATAGTTTTATTATCTAAAGTGTTGTTAATTTCTTAAATATACCGTATGAGACATTATTAGGGTTTAGATAATGTCAACGTGACGCGTCTTGTCTAATCACTTCTATTTTGGTAATAGATAGTGGACTGAGGTCGAAGCGCCATAAATACACATTTCATAATACAAAGAGTAATAAATAGAATTACCACTTTCAACTGCATCAATCCATGTAAAGGCTGGTAAGTAGCAATGCCACTAATACTCAACTCCTTTCCTTCACCGCCACAGCACCCAATATTGCTTCCTTTGCATTCTCCACTAGCCGCTCCTTAACCAAATCCAACGTTAACTAAAACAAACATAAGCCTTTATCAAAACACAAATGAAACCAAACAAAACAACATAAGATAAGCCGAAAGATTCAACTTTCAATATCAAAATAAATAAATAAATCCAACTTTAAGCTGAAGTACACACCTTGTTCTCATCCATGCCAAGCTGAATAACCCCATTTGGATTACCTGTTTCGTCATATGGATCCTCCAAGACTTTTTTCAACCCAGCATAGTAAGGTGAGTCGCCACTCTTCACCATCCCACTGACCCGACTCGACAAGAATACAGGTCCTCTCGGACTTCTCGGTGATAGAAGGTTGCTAGACGAATTCCGAAGAAACCCAGATAGCTCCGTGAGCTGCCCCGCCGACCCAGAAGGAGACGGCACATTCGGGTCCCTGTTCGGGTCATCCTGGTCAGTCATGTCATCACGATGTTTTCTTCTCAAATAAAGCTGGAGAAAGTAGGAAAGAGCACAGGGTATTACTGAGCCGAGAAAGAGACCTCCTCTACCCTGAACAATGCCTTGTAAGGGCACCATAACTCTCATGGCAGTTCCTCCACGCCTAATTGCAGTGGTTTGTTTAGCTTCCTCGCCGGGTTCGAATGCCAGGGTCCGAGACAATCGGGTTCGGGTCATTTTAGTTGAAAAGTCTTGGAGGTCTCGTGATGTTTAATGAGTTTTGCGTTAGAAGTCCATCCGGGTCAACCCGAATGAGAAATAAAGTAGTGATTTTAGATCGGTTAGAGAGATGTTCTGCTTTCAATATTTAGGGATATTTTTGTTTGTATATGATGCCGTTCCTTGTTAGAGGGAGCTAAGGAGGGATTGGATCTGTCCTTAGTCGTTGGGATTTTTTTGGAGTCGTATGTGAGTTTACTTTAATGGCCCTTTTGAGGACACTTTTGGCGATTGGGGATAAAATGGCGCCAATATCAAATTCATGGAGGTTTCTTCTTCTTCCCTCTTTTTCTTAACATGGCTAATGGCTTCATTTGAAAGGATGCTCAGCTCTTCAATGGCTGAGATGAGTTTGTTGAAAGAAAAAGAAAAAGTGACTACTTCTGCCCCCACCGTAAATTGCTTTCACCCTTTACATCGTAAGGTGGGATTCTCAAATTGAATTATTTTATTTTTACATAACTCATTTATCCAAAAAATATTAATCATGGAATATAAAAAAAAATTGGTGAATTCTGTAATATAATTATGTAAAAATTGCATAACTAAATGTTATTAGTCTTTATATTTAATTGTGTTAAACTGCTAACAACAATAATTACGGATTTACAAGAATTATTATTTTAAAATTAACTAATTATTATTATAATTTACAATAACATAACACAGAGTCAAATTTTAATATTTTATACGAAGAGAGGAACATGATGATAAAATATCATGTACGCACTAAATTATGAACCTCTTTAACTCATACATTAATGACATTCAAGATTTCGGGTGATTAAGATGAATGTTCAAAATATAATATCTTCAAACGCTACAGTAAGTTCTGGCTTTATTGTAATTTCCGTCACATTAAACAAAGTCATCTTTTATCTCACATACCATTGTTTTAATTTGACCACAAAACAGTCAACCGCAGCTGCAAAACCCAAGCACGGAAAGGAAAGATTAAGGCCAGCCTTAGATCCCCATGCCTTGAATTCAGCCAATATTGTTCAAGCAGAAAACAAGAGCACGGCAAAAGGGTTTTGATGAGTCATGAATCATGATGAAGGGTGCAAATGCAAACTACCCTGTGGAAAATGACTTGTCACCTTCCAATGCCGCTTTGGGTTAGGACCATTACATGCTCCAAACAGAAAGTTCCATTTTTCAATTGGGCCACATGCTTTTCTTTAATTCATGTGGATTTTGGGACCAAAAAATAAGTGTTTTGAGTGATCCAATTCTAGACAACCCATTAATATCGGCTCCAAGAACAATCACATGAGTGCATGCTGATTGGATTATTGCCGCACGCTCAAACTGATTTCTTTTACAAATATTACTAATGATAGGGTCATCGTGAACTTTCATACTCGATATATATATTAAAACAATAAGCTTTGAAGCAAAAATTTTGGAGAAGTTTTCATGATGGGAGACACACTTATGAATAATAATAATAATAATAATAATAATAATAAAGGACTATCTGTTGTTGAACATTATGGCTTGTATTGCACCTATAACAACACTTTGACGCCACCCTCAAAAAAATGGTATGAAATGTACCTATGTGATTGAGCATATCACTACAACTACAAAAAGTATTATAGGTGGTTTTTTTTATCTTCTAGAGGTGGTTATAACCGTTTCTACAGATTGTAGAGACGGTTTTCGGATCGTCCCAAAACCGTCCGTAATACCATCGTCTCTACAATATAGGGGTGGTTTTTCCAACCATCGGAGAATTCGAGACGGTTTTTTATGGTGGTTTGAACTCGCCTCTACGATGTCAATTTTGAGGCGGTCATACGATGTCAATTTTATCTTACAAGATTTTTTGATGCATAATGTTTGGGGCGGTTTAAAACCGCCTCTACGTTCCCACATTTGTTTTATAAATTTCACGTAAAATATTTGAGACGGTTGTAACCGCCGTAAGGTTTAACATTTATAAGGGCGGTTTTACTATAGAATTTATACAATCGCCTCAAATTTCGAATTCATAGAGATGGTTGTTTAACATTCGCCTTCGAATTCAATTTTTTTTTTTTTTTTGGTCAAAAAACAAATAAATTTTAAAAAAAAAGTCAATCTTGTTGAATGTAAATAAAAGAAAAATTATATAGCTTACAGAATATTCTTAAATTTGTAATTATCAAATTCCAAAAACATAAAAGTCATCAAATATTCACAAGCAAAGAAAAATAAAAAACTAAGGGATTAAACACTTGTTCGAAATACATATATATAAAAAAAATGTTGATTGATTTGTACTTGCTCTTTCATTTCTTCTACTTCATAACGCTTAGCTTGGAGAGAATGAGCCTTTTTTCTATAAATATCAAGACAAGTATATTTAAAATAAGTGAATAATGAAATATAATTTATCAACAATAAATAAATTACAATAAAATTGTAGTATCGTTTTTAGCCTAACATTGTGATAATAATTTCCTAGTTATAAGTGGGAAACGTAATGCTCGGAAAATTCAATTCGGAAGAGTAGAACTTCACCGTGCAAATCATTCACAAAGGGAAACGAATCGTTGGAAAATTTAATTTTACTTTATAGATTAGTGTGTGCGGTAGGAAAATTCAATGCTAGAAAATCTTGTTTAGACTCTTAAATCGAATGCCAACTCATGATATGAAATTGTTTGAGACTAAATTTCAATCATATCTAAGTATATCTAATCTTAATTAGAGGTGACAAATGAAACTCTCTAATCCCTCCAAGCAACTCTATAGTGTTGGTACACACACTTATTTGTTTGTACATGTATGGATTCATGTATTTCATAAGAGCATGTATGATCGAATTTTAAGATTAGTAAAAGGGAACAGTACTTAAGAGAATTTACCTCTTAATGCGTTTTCCCTCTTTATCTTTTTTTTTCATTATAATTTTGAAAATTAAGATGGAATCAAAGGAATATAAACTAAAATATAAAATAATTAAAATCTCACCAAATTTATGTGTAATTCGAGTATTAAATGCATGCATCAAATCCGAAATGAATAAACAATGCGGACCGAGAGAAAAAGAAAATGATCTCCATAGAGATTATACAGACCTCACCTCCCTCGTCATCGTATATAATCTGTTGTACCAACCATTGAATCACCCTAAGTGCTAAAAACAAATGTCTACAACATTCTTTTGGATTTTGCGACATATACTCGATGTAGTAAAACCATGTCAATTATTGAAAAAAAGAAGAAGGAGGATATCTTAAATTTAACCATAAGCTTTTTGTTTTTTTAATGCGAGCACTCGTGGCATGAACTATTATTATATATGTCATTATTTTATAATAGAATGTAATCTAATATTTCTACAATCTAATGTATGTACTAAAACTCGTACGATCAAAAATTAAGTTCCATACCAAGTATTTTCACTAGATGGAGAAAACCGACATCAAATGCAAGAACCAACTCTCATTGCTACGTGTCAAGATGGTCCGTACAACCTCTAAGGCCTTCGACAAATGGTAGTTCATCAATTTTGATCATCCTAGAATCAAATCCAAAATTTTGATCATCCTAAACACTCCATCGACTCAAGCGATTAATTATGAGACCAACATCCAAAATACATGAAGTCGAGAAACTAAATGAAATCAACCTAGAATCAAATCCAAAATGATTTTCACACGGAGGATATAGACGAGAACCGCACTTGGTTCCTATCGTTATTCTCTCAATAATACTCAAGAATAGGCATGAACCAACGGGGCATGCTAGTTGGTATCCATAGGTAAAGGTTTCGATCCGGGTAGACAAGCCTTATTGGAACCTAAATTTGACAATGACCCTCATCATCAAATAGCATGGCACACCTCATTCCCATTCCTTCGGCTATAGACAAGCTTCATGTCATTATCCCCAAAACTCACATTACATACTAGAAAATTACGGTAACCACTTTTAATATTTATTTGTACACAAGGATTGCAAAATAAATGATAGCATTTTGTAATGACAACTTCTTTATGTCCGTCAAGGCGGATACACCATAGGCTTTTTGTCACTCGTAAACAAATCTTATCATTAATTCATCATTATAAGCCCAATCTCACACTTTAATTCATTCAAAAGATTCAAGAAAATTACCATTAGAAGCTTTAGAGTCTATAAGTTTTGCTACCACGCCGGGGCCTCTCGCAACTTCGTCCGGTCCACCCACTCGAACATTAATTCCGGGTTTTAGAATAGTGGTGTTAAATGAGAGCATAACAAGGTAATTAAGAAAGAAGCGAGGAGAGAAACAAAGTCATCCATGCAAAATTATAATCCTTTTTATGTTCACATGATCAATCTAAGTAAAGACTTCTATTAGTTTGTTCACATAATCAATCTAAGTTTGTAAATTAGAAAACTATCAACCTTGGTAGAGATTACATTGAGAAAACGAGTCTTTTGATTTATTTTCTATTCCAAAACACTAAAAATGAAAAATAATGATTACATTGAGAAATATTTGTTAGAGAAAGAGAAAAGGGTGATGTTAAGAACCTTGGTAGCGATTCTCACGGGTGGCGGCACGAACCAACTCGGTGCAAACTTTCTCAAGGTTTTTGACATTCTTGGAGGAAAAGGTGATACCGATCTTATGAATCGCTACTAGGTCTCCTCTAAACTCGGTTTTTATGGCCATTTTCTCCTTTTGCTCAAAGAATTGGAGAAACAAGGATAGTGTTCTGCTTGGAGCGAAGGAGCCATGAAAATGAGAGGATCTATTGTTTGTCAATGCAAGGATTTAGATTTTGGAGAGGGTGAATGAGAAGGATCTGTCGCTTACCAAGACATGGATCCGGATCTTGAAGAAAAAACTTAGAAGTTGAGGAGAGGGGCGGGATGGTAAAGGGGTTCTTTCTAAAAGAACTCAAAAGAGAAAAAAAAAAGAAGAAGAAGGTTTGCTATGCGAGGCGGTTTATAAAACCACCTCATATTTTTTTCTT